AAAAAAAATGTGTTTCTAGGGCTAAATTCTAGTTCCAATGCAAAAGTGTGAGGCTGAACTCACATTTCCTATTAAACAGGATTGTATTTTTAAATACAGTGGTACCTTGACTTATGAATGTCTCCACTTACGAACATTTTGAGTTACGAATGGTTCCGGTCGCAAAATGTTTCGACTTGCGAACAGAGCCTCGACTTAACAACAAACAACCTTTTCCTGCCCCTTTTTTTTGACCTAAGTCCATCTTAGGTCAAAAGAAGAAAAAATATAAAAAAATCTCCCCCTAGTGGTAGAGGACGGATTAACCGGCTTTGCATTAGTTCCTATGGGAACTAATGCCTTGACTTGCGAACAGCGCCTCATAAGAACGAAAAACAGCCAGTATGGATTAAAAGGTTTTCAATGCATTCCTATGGGACATTTTGCCTCGACTTATGAACTTTTCGACGTACGAAAAGTTCCAATACATTCCAATACAGATTAAATTCGTAAGGTGAGGTACCACTGTATCCAGTAGCTTTGAAAATAGAAAAGGAAGCGTCCCATAGAACATCTTACATAATTTTCCTAAGAACAACCCTCCTACGCTACTGTGCAAAACGCACAAGGGAGGCACAGAAATGTTAAATTAAAAAATTTAATTACAATGCTGTTGTTGTTGTTGTCACACCTAAGTCAGCACTTACTTTACATTTCAGACTAACAAATTTAGATTTAATTTATACTCAACTGATCTTGAATGTCTGCATTGTGACTACTTAAAAGGCCTCTTGGGTGGTTTGAATTGTATATTCCTGTAGTAGAAAGGGCCCAGCAGGAATTTAATTGTGTTCCCTTGGACTTCAGAGAGAATTAGGAAACAATGAGGAGAAGGGGTGTGTATGTTCTTGTAATACTATTGCTACTTATAGGAACACAGTAGAACAGAACTGCTTCCCCTAATAGACAGGAAGTTTAAGTACAAAATGAAAAGGTGACTATTGTCATGTTGTGACTACAAAAGACTCTCCCATTTCAGCAACGCATCAGATAAAGTGTAAAATAGATGGCAGAAAGGAAGTTGCTATGGTTACTTTTTAAAAAATTGTATGGACAAAAAAAGCTTTCCCTCAGGCACCTCAGTGTAGCACATCTCCAGACACTCTCCCGGCCCCTCCCTTCTAGGTTCCACATTATTCCCACCCACTGTAGATTCAATTGAGATGTATATTGTGTGCACACATTTGCACGCGCATGCACGCACACACACACACAAAATATGAAAGGAACTCTCCATACCAATGGCACAGGCCGAACAGCTTAGATACCTTCTAAGCCAACACTGTAACAGAACAGCAAATGCTTTCCTTTGATTAACAAACTTACCTTCGCTATCAATATCATCACTCAAGCGGAAAACACTGTCAGTTAAAGGGTCTGGCAGGAATGCCCAATCATTGTCTTCACAGGAGCTTACATCAGAGTTGATACTTGACTGGCCCTCATAGCTGCTAGTCCTTTGATATCTAAGCACCATTCTGGCTAATGCAGAGCCTGCATCTAAAATGCACAAAATGAATAAAGTTTTTATACTATCGTACCAACTAATGTATGAAGTACATATACGCTGTTTCCCCTAAAAGAAGACCTAACCTGAAAATAAGCCCTAGTATGATTTTGCAGGATGCTTGTCATATAAGCCCTATCCCCCAAAATAAGCCCTGGTTCAGTGAAACCCCACTTTCCACCACTGTGTAGCAACCAGAAGAAGATGACATGATTGTATTTGAATAGATGTAGATTGTTGTACATAAGAAAAATAAAACATCCCCTGAAAATAAGCCCTATTGCATTTTTTGGACCCTATCTTATTTTCGGGAAAACAGGGTAGTAGCCTTGCTCAGGAAATCATGTCTCAACTTAATATGCCTTTTAAAAATCTGCAGACTTGTCTAACATGAATAGTGCTTTCTCCACATATGCAGCTCCTTCACAAAAGCGGTGTAATTAAACCAAAATTTGACTTCCACATGAAGTAGGCTTCATTTTTCCTGTCTCATTCTCAGGACTCTTTAGAATGTTTTCTGGTTATATGTTTTTGAGCTCACTAATGTTCATTTGTCCTCATGTTACACTTTTTAAAATCACCCTGCAAAGCCCTGTGGAAAGAGTTACCAGATCAAATATTTCCTTCAGATTAAACTGAAGTTCAGGAAGCTGAGTGTGGGGTGGGACCACTATTAGCTGTACAGAATTGACTGTACAATAAAAAGCACACACACCTCTCTGCCACTTGATAACTGAGGGAAGAATCCAGAACCTCACTTGTGAGCATTTCTCCAAAATTATCCCTAGTTTGACATTATTTTTTGGGGGGAGTGGCAATTTATCTTCAATGAATCTGAGAATGATCTAAATGTCTCATGGGAGAAATTTTTGGCCAAGCATAAGTCTATCCTAACACAAAATAACAATTGTGCCTAGGTCACTCACATTGGCTTTGCTTTGCTTTTAAAACAACACACGAAAATAGAGGTTACTTACCCATAACCATGGTTCTTCAAGTGGTCCTCTGTGAATTCACACAATTGGGTTTAGTCTGCGCCTACACTGGACTCATCGGAATAGTCTACAATGGTGCTACAAACGTCATGTGTTCCCTGTGGCTATTCATGTGTCCACAAACATCTTTCTTATCTACATGGGTATTACTTTTTCTGGTGGTGGACAAATTGGAACTGAGGCTTGAGGCGGGCAGAGCATGCGCTATAGAGGCAACATTCAGTTAATGTTATTTTCTTTGAATTGGTTTTAGCCTGCGCTGGACTCCCCGGAATAGTCTGCAATGGTGCTACAAACGTCATGTGTTCCCTGCCTACACTGGACTCATCGGAATAGTCTACAATGGTGCTACAAACGTCATGTGTTCCCTGTGGCTATTCATGTGTCCACAAACAACAATGAGGTGGCGGACAATCTGAGTCGACTGACCATGGACCATACAGGCTCACGAATGGGAACTCGATAAACCAACATTCATGAGGATCTGCAAATGCTGGGGGTATCCAGTAGTGGACATGTTTGCGACACCTCTCAAAACAAAATGCAACGTGTTCTGCTCTCACACAAGCAGAGGTCATGCTTCATTAGGAGACGTGCGCATTCACAGAGGCCACGAAGAAAAAAGAGAGGTTACTTACCCGGAACCATGGTTCTTCAAATGGTTCTTTGTGAATTCACACATCCCACCCAGCCTCCCGCTGTCTGTCACTCTTTCTTACCTACATGGGTATTAATTTTTCTGGTGGTGGACAAAATGGAACTGAGGCTTGAGGCGGGCACAGCATGCGCTATAGGGGCAACATTCAGTTAATGTTATTTTCTTTGAAGCTTTAGAATATTCCAAGGAGTCCAGCACAGGCACAGACTAAACCCAACTGTGTGCATTCACAGAGGCCACGAAGAAGAATAGATATCATTCTAGTCCTCTTCCTGAAAACATTCTGACTAGAACTCTGAAAGGTGTTGTTTCAACTCTACATGGGAAAGTGCTCAGCATGGCATAATAGAAATAGCCAATGACAATTGCACATGGTCAACAGCAAGAAGACTACCTGAACACATGAAAAGTAATTGAAGCTAGCAAAATTAGCTGATCAAGCATTTTGAGCTCCCAGGAAACATACATTAAAGCAATGGCACATACTGCATGAGAACCATTTGTGTGTTGTAAGCCGCCTAGAGTGGTCAATATGACCAGAAAGGCGGGGTATAAATGGAATGAATGAATGAATGAATGAATGAATGAATGAATGAATGAATGAATGAATGAATAATCGTGTTTGTTCAGCTACCTTTGAACCAGTCAACAGTTGCATATTATTTGGCTACCATAAATGCTGCAATAGTCACCTCCCATCTAGTGCCACTTACTTGTTTGTTTCCTGAAGGATGCCCGTTTATCTGGAAATAAGGGGCTCAGCCAAGAAGGCTCAATCCTGCCAATGCAAAATCCTCCAAGGCAAATACTGCTGTTGGCAACATCCAGGCTAAGCTTTTTTAAGAGCAAACTAATGATCTGACTGTCTCCCTTCTTGATGCTGACTGTCAGAGCACTCCGGACATCCTGCTCTCGAGCACCACTGTTTAGTAGCAGTTCTACCAGTTTAGGATTGCTTCCCTTCTCACAAACCTATTGCAAGAGAAAGGGATGAAAGATTCAATGACATTGATGATTAGACTGAGTTTGCATATTTCTATATTTTATGTACAGTATATGGTTTTGCAGAAGGGGCTGGTATCTTTTATCCATTTCTACACAAGCAGCTGACGAGTATACCATCTTGCGTGACACACACATGAAACAAAGCTCCATACTTTTGTCCTTTGTGTTTGACATCTCTTGAAAAGGCTCATATCAGAACACTGCCAAAATCCAGACTTAATGATAATTTAGAAGCTTGGTAGAAACTTGTGCAGTGAAGCGTGGCAAGTATTCCATATTTCTTGCCATGTTCATGTTACTCTGCTCCAAAATGTGTTCTGGATCAAGAGAAGAAAGGTTTCCAAAGTCGCAGAAATTGTACTTTTTCAAACCTAATAAACTGCAACTGGGGCAAGCTTCACAGCTGCACTCCTCACAGAGGACTGGCCCATCAAAATCAGACATGATTCGGAGTGCAATTATGAATCACTTCCAGTGCCTTTTTGGAAACCAATTCCCTTGGTTCTCTGGATGACATTCTTCCCAAGAACCATAACTAGCTATTGCGACACTGAGCTTTTGAATCCCAGGGATCCACAGAGACCAGACACCTTGAGTTCAGGATATTGCAGAATTGGTTAAAAAAACATGGAGAGGAAAATCAGGGTGGATTCTCTGAGGGAAAACTGTATTCATACAAGTACAGATTTAATGCTATACGGAAAAATGACAGCCTAGATCTTCATTGAAAGAACTAGCCAAGTACTATTTTGACATTTGCAACCTGAAGGCTTGTACAACTTAAAGGCCTCTGGAGCATCTCTGCTGGTGAAGGCTCAGACAGTGGCCAGGTCAAGGGAGGTTTGGCCTTCAGCTCACCATTGTTCTCAACTGACCTCTTTACCTTCCCAAATTGAACATAACAACCATTCAGGTACACCGGAGTATATAAAAGAGAAGCACACAAGAACATCACTATGTTGTAAGCAATGTTTTCTCTAAGCCACATGGGTGTGTGGGCACACACTGCTGCATCAGGTGTGCGCAACCGAGCAAATGTATCCATTCTGAACAGAGCTCCAAAGAATTAGAGGGAATGCTGGTTGTAAGTGAAGCCTCATAAACATTTCTGGTAACTCTGAACATTAATAACCAAGCCTGCTGCTATATGCATCATGCTATACAGACTAATTGTTTCTGATTACACTTAAGTAAGATAGAAAAGTTGACCAAGTGGAATGGAACATTGAAAACCATCTCTTTAAACACACAGATGCATCTCATGCACAACTAGAACTTCTGGTATTTTCTAACAATCAAATGATACCTTTTCAAAGATAGCCTTTAGATTAAAAAGCATGGCGCCTTCCATTCAACAATAAAACATGCTAAGTGCTCCAACATTCAGCTACTAGGAAGATTTTTTTAAAAAAAGAAAATCTGAAATACAAATTCCAAATCAGGTCAGTGGCTTACACTGTTAAGTGTGTGAAGAAATTGAGAATCTGGAGGAACACAGAACATGGCATCTATCTTAAAAAAATCAAGCATCTCTGTGAGCACCTGGGAAAAGCTGGCTGAGAACTGTGGTGATCAGTGTCTGAAGGGACTAACTCTTACAGTATAGCACTTGTAAGAAAGGCCTTCAAGGCCAAGTTGGCTTCTTATCTGGTACTGCACTTATTAGGTGATTATTTCACCTGTGTGAAGGGAGGAGGAAGCAGAAAGTGCTCTGGTCTTCATTATCATTTGAAGGAACTTGAAACCTGATTGGCAGACCATCTGGAAAGGTCTAGAATGGGATATTTAATGTATAAAAAGGGGCTCAGAAGTTACTTTAGTTGGCTTAGCTTACCTCTCAGGAGATGCTATGTTCAGTTGCTGCCTACTATGCCATACATGGAAGGATGTACACTGTGCATGTTTCAAAACTATGCTGACTCGCTAATGTGGACATATTAAGCAGATTAGCACAGTGATACTACTTTCTGGTGTGTTCTATTGATTGCCTTAACTTTGTCTCAATTGTAAGAAACTGACAGCATATACCAAGATCCAGGTCTATAAAGCCTGTGTCCTGGGTACACTCCTGTACTGCAGTGAGTCCTGGACTCTTTGTTCACAGCGGCAAAGGAAGTTGAACACGTTTCATATGCATTGTCTCCAACACATTTTTGGTATCACCTGGCAGGTCAAAGTTCCAAATAGTGTAGTCCTAGAATGAGCTGGGATTTTTAGCATGTATATATTACTGAAACAGTGATGTCTACGTTGGCTTGGGCATGCCGTGAGAATGGCTGACAGTTGGATTCCAAAAGCTCTCCTGTATGGAGAATTAGTGCAGGGAATGCACCCCAGAGGGAGACCACAGCTGCGATACAAGGATATCTGCAAGCAGGATCTGAAGGCCTTAGGAATGGACCTCAACAGATGGGAAACCTTGACATCTGAGCGTTCAGTCTGGAGGCAGTCATGGCCTCTCCCAATATAAAGAGACATTTGTTCAGCAGGCTGACACAAAGAGGCAGTCCCAAAACCAGCAAAATCAGGGAGCTGGACAGGGGACAGATTGTATTTGTCTTCAGTGTGGAATGGATTGTCACTCTCGAATTGGCCTTCTCAGCCACACTAGACGCTGTTCCAAAACCTCTATTCAGAGCACGTTACCCTAGTCTCTCAAGACTGAAGGATGCCTACAGAACACAGCTTTTTGATGTGTTTTGGGTTTTTTGTCTGTTTACTGTCTTTAATAAAATATAAAATTCTCTCCAACCGCCTGGGTTTTTGGCCCAGAGTGTTTGTGGTACTAAAACCAGGTCTTGCCTTGATTGGCTATCAAGTTGTTGTTTTTTGTTTTTGTGGTGGCAGTCTATCTTGCAAGGTAGGCACATAGGTCCAAAATGTCTATGAATGATGGGGCTCCCTGGAAGCATGGCCAAGTCTGAGAAGAACTGGGGTGTTGGGAGGCACTGCACCAGGCAGGTAGTGTGCCTGAGTGACTAGACAGGGACCCCCTGAAACCAGAATTCCATCCAAATACGTACCTGATAAATCAAAGAGTTAGTCTTTGTCTTCTTATTCACATCCGCTCCCAGCAAAAGCAGACATTCAGCCATAATGCTGTTGTATTCGGCACAGGCTTTCTCTAACATCAGGTTTTTTAAATCATCGTTGTCAGCTATTTTAGCAAAGCATTTACAACAAAGACTCTGAAACTAAATTGAAAAGACAGGCAATTGAAACTGAATCAGCAACTTCCAGAACATGTCACAATAAATATGCCAGAGAAAGGGAAAGGGGTGAGCCAGAGGAAGAGAGAAGATTGAAAGATACCTGCTGGTCTCTTTGTTCGGTGAAACACATGGACATCTGATAGAAAATCGCTGTGTCAAATGACTCCTGTAGTAGCAGCTTTGCAAAACAAGGCGACAGTTCAAGTATTGTTATAATCGTGCAAAATCCCTATAGATAAAACAATAGCAAAGTGAAGAATACTGTAATCTAAGGCATACTGTTAAAACCATATTCCATACATTACCTCAATGTAGGGCGAAAACAATAAAGAAAACAAGACCAAAAGGATAAACAGGACCAAAGTATATTCTACCAACTTTATCATCCAGTCTTTTCAGTTTAGTTAGTGAGACTTACTTCTAAGTAAGTGTACAGAATTGCAGCCTTAGTCACATTATTCATTTTCAAACACGGCCTGAACATGTTGGAATCCCGCTTAACTTAATACTGAAGGCCTCATTGGGATCAAACAGTTACATCTCACGGTCCATGAACAGATTTAATAGTGCCTCTGCTAACATAGAAGCTTCTAACTCCTGCTCTAGAATTAACAGAATTCTGCTACACTGGAAATAAAATTACCAATTATGTAATACACAACAGATTCCAGAGAGAAACTCTGACAAAGTGACACTGAGATGAATAATTGTGTGACTGACTACTTTTCCTGAGCTGAGTGATAGTTTCTCAGTTTGCTTTTTCAGTTAGTTATCTCCTCTGCACTGCATCCTAATAAGAGCCTTAGGGAACAGTTATCCTGCTGATTTGTATCAATTTCAACTCCAATGTATTCTTAAATTGATTTTCCAGTCACGTGGTTTTTGTATTACTGTGCTCGTTCACTTTGAAAATTATTATTGTATATAAAGTAGGGGCTTAAAACTGCTTCCTGAAACTACATGAGATTTTAAATAATGTCATTAAGCAGCATGTTTGCAGACTGTGTGGTTTTCATTGTTGGTGATCCTGGTGCACCGCCAATGATTGCGACCTTCTTTTCCCCATTTGTTTTCAATGCTGTGCAGTATTTCTTTGGCTTTCAGGCATCCTTTAGAATGCATGCATTTCTCTCTCTTTTTTTTAGACAGACAGACAGACAGACAGACTTTAAGTGACATTACTTCCAAAAACTGCAACTGCCCACAAAGGCAATATTTAATATGACAGGGACATCCATATTGCCCAAAGTGATTCATAAAGAATCAGTTTTGCAAGCATGTTAAATTAAACAGCCCTCACTGGCCTCTTCAAAAATACTCGCTTTGTGGTCAAAAATAGAATGGGCTTTGCCCTATATCATACAGTTGAAATTTTTCAAATATATTTTAATTATGCAAAATCCAATTGAAAAGCAGTTCTTATTGTCAGTGTACCTTAGTCGTAAAACACTGCCCACCCACCCAAAGTTCTCAACCATCCAATCCACTCCATGCCCATCCCTCTACAAGGCAAGTTCAAGTCATCTCCTTATGGAAAAGATAGTTTCTGAAGGGGTACATAAAGTATCCATCTGAGAAAATGCTGCAATACAAAGGAAAATGCATTCATACAACAAAGTAGCATGCTATGATCCATTATTACGAGATCACGTAACCTCATAGATCACGTTACTTCCTTTCTGAACTTGACCTACTACTTGACTGTAATCTGAGGGGAGACAGTTTCTTCAGAATCTGCCTGCCTGGCTAGATAGCTCAGTGCGGGTGGCTGAGGGTTTGATTCCTCACTATGGGGAGAAAAGGCAGCTTATCTCGCCTTAGGCAAGCAATACAGTCCCAGAGCTCGCCCAGAATAACGGAATGGTAAACTACTTCAGAGTGCTTTATATCTAGAACATCCTAGAAAGGGTTGCCAAAGATTAGAATTGAGTTGGTGGCATGTATTATTATTCACATATTATTCACATGTGTTTATCATTAGAGAATTGCAGCAGCAAAGTGAAATTAATGTAGATGAATGAATTATCACAGAAGAACACCAGAGTCAGATCTTCCATGTTATCTCATGTCACCTCAAATATAAGGGATTTCATAAAAGTCAATTCTTACTCCAACACTGGTACAAATGTGTGCATGGACATCACTTGAATTCACTTCTCTAGATTACTAGCAGTGGGAGACTTGAACTGATACCAAGAAAAAAAAATACTGGTGTAGAAAATCCACAGCCCAACTGCTCATTCAATTAATCATTTCATGTCGTAAACACAGACTTTAATTACACTTTCCTTGAGCTCAACATTATAGCTACTGAACATGCTACTAAGACTGCAATTCTAAATTTTTTTTAAAAATAGCTGTAAGTAGTAAGTCTTAAGCAGGTAGGCCTATTGAATCAGTGGCAGGTGAGTCAAGTTCTACTGTTTCAATAGGCCTCCTCTAGTTAAAATGTACTGCTGGGTGTCAACCTATATATGGTAAATAACTTTTAAAAGATAACATAGAGTAGAACCCCTGACCTAACAGTATGTCAGCAGGGATAATATTTAGGAGTCACAAAAAGAGGTAGGCTTGACTTGACTTAATAATATATAGTAATAATAATCTTAGAACTGCAGAGCTGGGATGAATCCTATGAATCATTGAGTCCAGCCCCTGTAAAAGAAGCACAGTGGGGAATCAACTTATCTCTGACATAAGGACAGATGTAGGATAATATGAAGATGGCAATGTGAAAATTTAAGATTTAACTACAAATTCTAAAGCAAAGTTATCTTGAATTTAATGGTACAATTTAGCAAAGAAGATCAACCAGCAGCGAGGTACAGAATTCTAGACAATCAGCACAGACGTCAACAATGCTACTTTGGATAAGGAAGAAAACACAGCTCTGAACTACTGCGCCAAATAAGCTTCCCACTGGAAAAAAAAATTGCATATTTTATACCAAACACAGCACGTACTTCTATCTGTATTTCAACAACATCCTTAAAGCGTCGTAAACTGGAAACCAAGACTGCTGCCAATACATGTATAGTTGCAATACACAAACTCTTTCTTGTAATGATGGATCCTAGAAGGCTCAGTCCTAAGCACTGTATCTCTAGAAAGAAAAAGAGGAAAGTGGGGAAGGTGGGGAAGAAAAAAATCAATAGTATGAAGAGAAGTATTTTTAGCACACTGGCCTTTCCTGTTGACTCCTCACTTCCCGCATTATAAAACATCACTCCAGTCATTATCTATATATGGAAAAAAGTAAAAAAAATACTGGCTCTACTGCAACAAAGGACAATAGATTCAGTTTTTCAACTTATACTACGGCTCCTAGAGAAATAAGACACACTGTCCTTTTAGCTGAATTATGAAAAGGCTGAAATTTTTTTCCACACTTCCTGAATTTCTGATGTCATTCTTATATTTTGAGAAAACAACAGCAACATTTATTTAACGGTTTCCACATACATTTTCTACTTCTCTTCTTTTGCAGGAAAAAAAGGCCTGCGTACAAAAAGTCTCTACTATTTTACATTCTCTGAGCGGCTGCCCATTAACACTAAGCTTGCGGTTTAGTTGAGCATTACATGCATGAGACGGAGCAAAACTACAAATACTCTCTCCTCTGCTTGGTCCTGCCTGTGTGGTTTCAAGTCAAGCTAAAAAGTCAACAATATGTACAAAATCTTTTGCTCCAGCTCATTCCAGCTTGGACATGTAATGGTAAGTCATGGTTTAGCATTCAGTATAAAACCTCTTGTTCTGATAGCTTGGGGGCACATTTATCTGCAGTATACAAGCCTGGTTCCTCTAAAATAATGATTCAGGGGGCATCTGTTTCACTTATATTGTTTTAAGAGGTCTTTGTCTGCCCTGAAGATCATCCAAACAAGAACAGACAAGCACCCATTAGGGATGATTTAATCACTGGGTGTGGCAGCATTCGGCTAGGAGTGCTTTCCATCTGATGAAATAATACCATATTTTTTAGCTCACCAGTCCTGACAGTCCTACAGAACTGAACTCCATTTTAATCTATCACTTTGTACCTTGGTCATCAGGATACATCTGTAGTGTATGGAGTACAGTGTCTGCCATCCCTTCCTGTATCAACATTTCTAGGGCACCTGAACATTCCACTACAGATGAAAGTATTCGAAATCCACATTTCTGAATGCCAGGATTTCCAATAAACTAGAAAGAAAAAGAACATTAATTCTGAACAGTAGGAATGACATGTGAAATTATTATTATATGCTCATTTTTGCAAATGTGCTATCTGGGGCTCTGGTTCCTGTGGAGAGACTACCACAGTCTCCATCTCTTCAGACTGTTCCTTTCATGTTTTGAAAGTAATGACAGAGATGAGCGGAGCTAGTATATTGCCTTGAATACGTGAGGGCTCCATATGCTTTACAGCATGTCTGAATAGGGCTTATGTATCTCTGCAAGCCAGAACACTACTTGGCTGCTGGAGCTGCTAGGTTACTGGACTATACAGCCAGTTGCATCCAGGCTCCCAGAAAAGCTTGGGGTTTATTGTTAAAGGGACACATATAACTGGCAAGAATGGTATGTATCAGTGAATTTCTGTTCTGCCATTGGCCTGTGGGTACTGTCTGTGTGAACTGGTACGAATTAAATTGTATGTTGTGAAATACTCAAATGCAATTCAAATAGATCTATATAAAAACTATGAGTGACGTGTCATCTCAAAGCCTGTCACCGTTCAATAAATTAACCAATAACTCTCTGTTTTGTATAAGGAAAATTTATCACAAAAGCAAAAGAACTGGGCTATACCGTGTTAAGAGCATCAAGGACCAAGGAGTGTGTTCCTTCCAATAGGCACTGGTTTTTAATCACTTTTAATTTTACCAAGTCAGCATCTTTCAAAGGACTATTTTGCTGCTTTTTCAGTGCTCCTGTCATAGAAAAAAGCAGGAAAAAATGCTTGTAAAAGGAAATCCTGTAATTCAAAGTAAAACCATCTTAAACTCAAACCCCAAACCTGTTCTCACAAATTTTCACTGCCACTTCTGTGAGATGATACTTCCATATCACAAGCTTAAACTACAGTGGTGCCCCGCTTAATGATTACCCTGCTCCACGATGAATCCGCTTAACAATGAGGTTTTTGTGACTGCAAAACGATGTTTAAATAGGGAAAATGGGCTTTACGACGATCGGTTCCCTGCTTCGGGAACCGATTCTTCACATTACGATGGTCTGAAAACAGCTGATCGGCGGGTTGCAAAATGGCCACCCGCTGTGCAAAATGTCTCCCCACTGTGTTTTAGGACTGATTACTCGCTTTACAGGCACCAGAAAATAGCCACCCTATGGAGGATCTTCGCTGGACGGTGAGGTATTTCACCCATTGGAATGCATTGAACGGTTTTTAATGCATTTCAATGGGCTTTCTACTTTTGCTTGACGACAATTTCGTTCTACAGCGATTTTGCTGGAATGGATTATCGTTGTCAAGCGAGGCACCACTGTACATCATACATTAAACAGATAGCACCCCATTTTTAGCCCAAATATAAGTGCATGTGGAACCCTCTAGATCAGGGGTCCCCAACCCTTGGCGCATGGCCTGGTGCCGGTCCGTGGCCTTGGCCGGACCAGGCTGCGGAGACAGATGTTCCGCCCCCCCACTCCTCCCCGCACAGCCCCTTCACACATGTGCGTGAGTGCGCATGCACGCCATGCAAGCACCCCTGCCCCTTTGTCCCTGCATGTGAGTGCCCGCGCGTCCACGCAAGCAAGCGCAGCCCCTTCGCACCTGCATGAGTGAGCACAGCCCCTTCATGCATGCGTCTGAGCGTAGGGGGTGCCCTCCCACGCACAGACCCTGTACCCCCCAAGGTTGGGGGCCACTGCTCTAGATCCAGCCCACCTCACGTTATCAAAGGAGATTAAAATATCCACCCCAGCCCGCTTTTTCATTCCATTTCCCCAGACATGTGGATGTCGAAGAAGGTAGGAAGAATACTGGTGCCAGTGCAGTCAACTTGTTAGTCTCTACTTCCTTCTTTGTCTCTAGGTAGGGAACTAAACTCTATGAATGATTTCTTCAACGCAAATCACACTGAACTCAGTGGGATTTTATCCCCAACCAACATGCACAGGATGTTAGTCTTGATTCAGGTATGAAAAGGGATTAATCTGTATTCAAAGATTATTCCAAATTAGTTTGTTTATTTAAAATATTGTTACCCTTCCTTTCTCAAATATGGAACAAGGTGATTTCCCTCATTAAAAGACAGTATTTAAAGCTAAAAACAGAAGTATACACATACTAAAAAGGATCAAACACATACCACATTAAAAAACAGGAAACAGAAGCAACACCAAAAACACATTCAAAGCAGTAAGGGTAAACAGTCCATTTAAATACTGCACACAGGCAGTTTGCCTGAAGAGAAAGGTCTTTGCCTGCTTGCAAATAGACAGGAAAGAGGAGGCCGGCCTGGCCTCCTGTGAGAGGGAGTTCCAAAGTCTGGGAGCGACAACAGAGAAGGCCCTCTCCCCATCGAACACTCTTCTGAAGGTGGTGGAACTAAGAGAAAGGCCTCTGCAGATGATCTTAACATTTGAGCAGGCTCATAAAAGGAGAGGCGGTCCCTGAGATAGCTTGGATCCAAGTCGTTTAGGGCTTTATAGGTTAGAATCAGCACTTTGAATTGTGGCCAGAGGCAGCCTGGCAGCCTGTGGAACTGCTGTAACGGGGGGGGGGGGGGGAGCCGGGCAGGGATAACTGACACGTTCTGGGCCCACAGAGATTTCTGTACACTTTCTAGAGGCAGCCCCACATAGCTCATACTGCAGTAATTGATCAAGGGATGTACCGGCCAGAGACAGACTGGCAGCCTGTGGAACTGCTGTAACGGGGAGGTTACGTGATCCCTGTGACCGGTTTGGCAATCTAACTGCCACGTTCTGGGCCCACAGAGGTTTCTGTACACTTTCTAGAGGCGGCCCCACATAGCGCGTACTGCAGTAATTGATCAAGGGATGTACCGAAGGCATGTGACACCAGGGCTAGATCAGACCTCTCCAGAAACAGGTGCAGCTGATGCACTATTTTAACTGTGCAAATGTAGTCCTGGCCACTGATGAAACCTGGGCACCCAGGCTCAGAGATAAATCCAGGAAGACACCCAAGTTGCGCACCTGTGTATTCAGGAGGGTAGTCCTATCCAGCACAGGTTGCATCGCTAGTCCTTGATCTGCCTTTTGACTGACCTCTGTCTTGTCTAGATTAAGTTTCAGTTTATTCACTCTCATCCAGTTTGTTACTTGTTACTAATACTGGACACTGATCAAAACAGCTTCCTTGGATTTAGATAGTAAGGAGAGGTAGAGTTGTGTGTCAACTGCATACTGGTGACACCAAACCCAGAGGTTATAGGTAGACATTAAATGACCCAGGAGACAAAACAGAACCCTGAGGGACCCCACAGGCCAGCAGCCAGAGTACTGAACAGAAGTCCCCTTACACCACTTTCTTGGTTCTCCCTTCCAGGAAGGACAGTGCCTCCATCCCAGAGAGACAGACCAGAAGGATACCAAAAGCCACTGAGAAGTCCAGCACAACCAACAAGGAGACATTCCCCCCTGTCCAGTTCCTGGCATAGGTCATCCACCAAGGTGACCAAAGCAGTCCCCATCCAATAACCAGGTCTAAAGCCAGACTGAGATGGGTCTAGATAATCCATCAAATCTAGGAATCCTTGCTTTGGACTAACAGTAACTACATACTAAACATTACAAGTGTGCTTCACTCATATTGGAACGGAATCAAGCAGTCTCCAGAGATTCTGAAACAGATTATAACTAAACCTTCAATTAACTTTTGTTAATGGTTTTGGCCAGGAGGGGCACAGAGACAAAGGCAGAGCAGCTCTAAAAAGAGATACATGTCTTCTCAAGTGTTCCATGTGAGCACAAGGCAAGTATGATCATGGGGAAGAGAGGAACGAGCCACGCTTTGTGACTAGTAGCAACACAGCTTCTTGGCACAGTGGCTGATTTTTACCCCTGTGTTCCAATGCCAGTGCTTCAGGTCAGGGATGCTGAACTAATATGTCACAAGACCTATCCATTGTTCAGCGGTCTTTGTTAATTTCCCCTCATGTTAGCAAAGGCTGATCAAATTCTCATTAGCTCCCTATAATTTAAGAGAAGCCATATAGGAAGGGGACTAGGCTGCCAGCTCATCACTTTTGCGATCACTTTTTTTGCCATGCTTTTCAAAGAGTAAATGAACCAAGACTCTTTATTCAAAGTTCTTCATTTGGATTGTGGTGTATGCTAATACTCTTCGTAAGTTTTCTTACCTGGAGCCATAAAATGCAAAAGAACTCTAAGTGCCTCCAGCTGTACAGGCGGCAATATTTTATGCTTCCTCATAGCATTGACAACTCTGGATGCAGCTGCTGTCATTACATCCAGAGCAAGAAAACTGGAAGATAAGTGTGAGATCACATTATCAGACATTTGTATATTTAAAAGAAGCACATATGATTCTTGCTTAATCATGAACTGTTTTGTTGCAGCATTTCCTGTAAACTACGGTATATTCCAAAGCTTAAAATAGCACATATTTTTAAAGCTTTTATACCGGGATGGGCAAAGTGTAACCTTGCTGGCCGCATGTAGCCTTTCCCTACATTCTGAATCTCCCCCAAACTTTGTTCCCCGCCCACAAAATGGAAAATCACACAAATCTTAGCTTTGAGGGTGGGTTGCCATTTTTATGCAACTCGCCCTCAGATGTGTTTTTGGCTAAAACCAGACTTCAAAAAACAAAACAAAACAAAAACCAACTGGTCACTTCCTGTTTTGAAAAAATACGTTTTTCTGGCCTAAAACAAGCAGGGGACATTATATAAAAATAACAAATCATGCACAGTGGTTTCTGGAGACATAAATTGGGGGCATTTTATATTCAACATAACAGATGAGTTCCAGCTTTCCCAGTCTATGTGTCAGCCCTGTTTTATGGATAGAAATTATATTATTCGTATATTATAGTGCTTCTGCGTCTGGAATAGCATTCTCCATATCTTGTAACAAGACCCTGTGAAAACGCAAATGCTACTAAAAACAGATTGGAAAGTAGAATGGGAGTCTCCTTTTCTGATTCTAAAAGCCACAGATCACACCTAGAGCAAACTACTGTCCTTGCTTACACAACAGAATTTGCCTTCACATCTAGAGATGAGCATGAACCTCAGTTCGAGGTTCACGTTGGTTCATATATGCCACTCATTCACTTTCTCTACCTCCCCGATTGAATCCCCTACTCACAAGCCAGTGTGGCTGTCCTCCTCCTCCTCCTCCTCTGACTGTTCAGCCAGTCTTTGGCAGGAACATGGACTTCCTTGCCCCACCTCCTTGGCTGATCACTCACTCAGACAAGGAGGCAAGACAGGAAAACCCATGCTCCTGTCGGGGACTGGTCGAGCAGCTGAAGAGGAGGACGAGAAGAGCATGCGCTGACTGGTGGGTGGGCCACTGGCCGAGGAAGTTGGGGAAAGGAACACACAGCACCCATGATGCCACATGTACAAGATGCACAAACCTCTGAAACAAGGTCTGTGCCCATCTCTATTCTCAACACATTGTGCTTTCATGACACACAAACCAGTGCTGAGGATGGACTGTACCTTTTTTTGTTACTATTACTCCAGACGTCAGAAGTAAGTAGTTACAAAGAATTAGGCACTTATAATTAATTCCATTTTTTAAGGTGTAAGATAAATTTTTTTAAAAAGCTAAAAGTTGCTATTTAGTTACTTTTGATAACCAGGAAATCAAACAGCTACTTTTAAAATGTAACCATAATGGCAACTGTATTTGTGTGGTCTGGAACTATAACCACAGTAAATTACTTCAAAAATTAACTTTTGAAGTTCTACTAAATCTTAAACACCTGGACAAATTATGACACTTATTTTGTATATAGTTGATCAGAGGATTAAATTTTATTTACCTCCCTTCAAAAGCATGATTTAGCAGTTTGCAAGCGCTTTCTGCAACTTCAGCAGAATAAGAATGTCTCTTCATCATGTCCAGCACATTCATATGTATTCCTTTTGCCAACAAGGTAGTCCGAATACTTACTACAGAAAGAAAAAAGTAAGCACATTAGGGTTGTGCAGGCACCTAACTTAATATTTACACTTATAGAGCAGCCAGGGGTGTTAATCCAGATACAAAGGGTAGGATCCAGAATAACACTGCATTTTTACGCACATCTATTTCAAAGTATGTCCCTGCAAGTTGAATAGGACTCACTCCTATGATGTACATCCAGAATTCAATTTAAATTGATTATGCTTTTTTCCCAATGATTTAGTCATCACTTTCACTGGTATAAATGGCACCTCAATGTAATTAAACTTAGCCTTTATGTAAACCAAAGTAATGTACACAAAAAAGATGATTTCTTCATGGACCTAAACTGTCATTATTCGCCTCTTTAATTACACTTGATTTGTTAAAAAATAGATTTACTTAGACAAATCCACTATCAGCACTATGTTTTGTGCTCCTCCTCCTCCTCCAGTTTTATTCTCTTATGTTTATTTATTGATTACATTTATACCCCACTTTTCCATTACAAAGTATCACTGACGTCAGCTTGAAATCTTTACAATAAAACAATAAAAATAGAAGAAATTTAATCATAAAATCATTTCCAAAGAACCTTCACCACCACCACCACAGAAACCATTAAACACAATTAATTATACAAACACCACAGCATATCAGAAACAATATGCCATTTTGGAAAGATGTCCTTTTCCACCTTTCCTAAAACCAATGGAAATGGAAACTGAGCTCAACTATGAGGGACGTACATTCCCCAGATGGAAGTGATTACAGACCCTCTTCAAAGGCAGTCTATGCAGTAGTCAAGGTAGGAGGTAAGAAATGGGTGGCTGTTGCCAAGTCAGAATGACACAGGAAAGATATAGCTGGCACACTAAGTTATGTTGTTTAAAGCACAATTGTCACTATTCCACCTGGGAGTCAAGGAGTAATCTTTGATTATGAACCTGACCTGTCCCAAATCCCAGTTCCTAAATACAACATTCAATGGCTAGCAGCACTTCCTGTTTCTTTACCATTTTGCTCCAATAAAGTTGCCAAGGCGTTTGCAGATGCCTGGAATACTTCTTTTGAAGATGAATGCATCAGCATTGCTAGCATCATTTCTCTGTGCACCGGAAACCTAACACAACCAGGAAAAGGCATTGCAAGCTATTATAATCATAAAAACTTCAGAACAACAACAACAACAACAACAAAAGAGAGAGAAAAGAAAAGAAAAAAGAGTGAAAATAAATATTGTTTTTCTGTTTTCATTTTCAAAAGAAATGGAAGAAATTTCACCATAAAATTATTACAATTTTTTTAAAAAATACCACAAATTGTAAAATCAAGTATACACACAGTTAAAAACATCACAGCAAATCAGAAATTATATGCCAGTTTTAAAACATGCATCTTTACATCTTTCCTGAAAACAATGAGAATGGAAACTGAGCTCAACTCTTGGGGAAGGACATCCCATAATGGGGAGAAGAGAAAGTCCTCTTCTGTATGATGGTCAAAGGCCCTCGGCAGCTGTTGGTGTTGGTTTGGGAACAACATTTTTAATTTTGAAAAGGTCAGACTTTCATCTGTCTTGCCTTACGATCACATCAGTTACACACATTTCAAGTCTAATGATGAACAAACAGGTTTTACGCTATAAACCAAAAAAGCCTGACAATTTCCACTCTACACATCAACCCTCACACAAGGACTGACTTTTATATATTCTGGCTTATTTATTAATAACGATGTTGGGGGAAGAGTACAAAAAATGGTGAGCCTCAAGTATGAGGGAATCCATACCAAACTAGAGTTTGCTAGGCAAAATCAGGAAAAGGCTGTATGGTTTTGGAAACAATACAAATGTAGGAGCAGGTGATATTTTAATTGACCATTAAGAATATAAAACAAACAAAAAGCAAAAAAAGTGAGCTTTAGAGGATGAATCATCTTCTACAAGGCTGTGCATCAAGTTCTTGTGACCAGTTTCAAACTTATGTCCTGTTTTAAATGTCCCACATGCACATGGCTGATGGTGTAGAGTCCAGGCAAGCTTCTTAGGCGGAAGCAGCTGCAACGTGGACATTGGTTTCATGCTCTTCTTCAGCTAGCAATTTGGAATTAATGGCCCATCTCTTAAAACAGAGGACAGTCACAGCTGAAAGCTCATTATTTGCTTTTGTTTTAAATTCGTAATGGTCAATTAAAGTTATTACCTGCTCCTGTATTTGTAGAGTTTGCTAGGCAACCTGAACCTCTGTTATGTGATGTCATTACTGAATTTGCAGTATCTGTCCAAGTGGTGCCCCTGTTTCTGGCTGTCATTTGCATGCCTGGCAATCCCCCTGGATCCTGTTTTCTCCAACTGTTTATGCACGAGTATGAACTGAGTCAGGATCCTCCTCTCCTCTTGGCCTTCTCCAGTTCCGTCCATGCAGTTAAGGGGCAGAAGGTGAGGATGGCAGTTTCAGTGAAAACTGTGCCATTTGCAATCCGCAGCAGAATTTTAGTCACTATGTTTTGAATGTTTTCAGAGCATGGGCATCACGATTTTACATGGGAAGGGCAGTTCATTGAGAGCTCACGTCTATAAAAAAAACCCAGACATTTTTAATATGCCGACAAATCACGGGGCAGAGTAACAAAAACTTATTAAAAAAAACCCAGACATTTTTAATATGGCGATAATTTGCTAACCTTTAGCTTTTAATACTGTTTGCTTTAATAATATAAGCTGCCCTGGGTCTTCTTGAGGGAGAAAGTCAGGGTATAAATATGTTTAATAACAACAGCAGCAACAACAGCAACTGCTTCCCTCGTGCAAAACCTTTCCAAAGGGCCGGGGCTCATTCTTAATGAAGTGGGATCAACCACCAGGAACAGAATCACTTCAAACTGGGCAGACCTCTGCACAATTCTGAACACTTGTATCTCCCCCAACGCACACACCCAGCAGCTCCTCCATGCCCTATTCCATATCATTCAAGACTGCCCTCTGGAGAGGCACAAGAAAAGGCAGGTGCAAAGATGGGATGTCACCTTCCGTAAGCCAACATAACTTAGGATCCAAGGCAATATATGCAAACGCACTTTCCAAAATGATCTGAGCTGATACAGAATCACCAACTCACTGGCTTGTTTTTTCAATGGGTCTGTGGCACTCCTCTTTGTCCTTTGAACGGAAGCATTTTTTCCCCACGAAAAGAAATCATGGCATGGAATCCTCCCCCTTGACTTCAAGCACATGGCACACTCATTAACACCAGGGAAGAAGCATGCTTCCTACACTCATCAGGACACCCTCAGGTCAAGTATTTATTGTCCCAAGCTCATGCACTCAGCAGCCAGCTTGGCATACACGGAAAAAGACACACTGACCCATAGAGCGACCCATTCATTATTTTCCATATTTTTCTCTACAGTATATGCATATAAACGGCTCTGTCATGTGAAGGGATAATATCAGTCTAATCTTTTTCAACACCATCCCCTCTCAGTTTAGACTCGGATGATGGCTATTATGAAAAATCTCAAAGAGACAAACAAAAAAATCTGAGGGGCACATTTCAAACATTTGATTAAGGCTACTGACTTTTTCTCTTCATCTCCAATTTTTTCATGAAGACTGTGCTGGTACATAAGCAGATTGTTCAAAGCCCAACATGCAGCCTCCTAGATGAAAATGAGGGGGGAAAACTGTTCGTCAATATATCCAAAGCAGGTATTTTTAAAGGACATAGAAAACAATCACAGTATTGTTAGTTGTAATGGGGAAAGCACTAAAACCCATAACAGTGGGCTTAGCTATGATATTTTGGTTTTAAATAATTCGTCAAACAACATTCTGATCAACAATCTTTTATTATTATTATTTGATTTCCAATTCTGATTGGGAATCAGTTATACTCTCTCCCAGTGTAGTGTGTTTAACTACTCCCTACAACAAAAACGTTGAGCTTTATTTCCTAACCTCAAAACCAAAGTGAGGATTGTGGCTGTTCAAAAAGAAACGTCAACACACATTAAAATAAAAATAAAACAGACTCAATAAAGGCCTCTTAAAATAACGCTGAACATAATTTCCTATTACAATGCCCAGCTTGTCAGAACAAACTACTTAGAATTATACTTCAACCCATGAATCACTTAATTTACGTCCCCTCTGGCAACAGCTGGTTTGCAAATTCATAACTTGCTGAATAGTTTCATTCTGTACAAATGATATATATACTGTATGTTTCACTAAGATCTATTGTTAAAAGATATATGTCATTTTTACAAAATGTATTAGGAACAAGGATCATTTTGAAAAACACGGTACAGAACCTCATATTCAATTCTGAAAAGCAAAATCATTGTCCTGTATTTCATGAGACAAACACTCCATAGTTTACTAGAAATCCATTTAAACTCTATGATTGCCACTACAGATACACTCATCATACCTAAAAGAGGAACATCTAGCCTTTCCCTTCTCCACAGTCACTTTTTACACGTGAAAAGTGATTCTTGTGCAGCAGAGATGTTCCTGCTTACAGAATCTGGGCCTAGTGTGACATAGTGAAGAAGCTATGGGCTATGCCATGCAGGGACTCCCAATACGGACAGGTCATAGTGGAAAGGTCTGACTAAACATGATCCACCTGGAGTAGGAACTGGCAAGCCACTCCATTATCTTTGCCAAGAAAACTCCATGGACAGAAACAAGAGGCTAAAAGATATGACACTGGAAGATTAGCCCCTCAGGTCGAAAGGCGTCCAACATGCTACTGAGGAAGAGCAGAGGACAAGTACAAGTATCTCCAGAGATAATGAAGTGGTTGGGCCAAAGCCGAAAGGATGCTCAGCTGTAGACGTGCCTGGAAGTAAATGGAAAGTCTGAGGCTGCAAGGAAAAATACTGCATAGGAACCTGGAATGTAAGATCTATAAACCTTGGTAAGCTGGATGTGGTCAAACAGGAGATGGCAAGAATAAACATTGACATCCTGGGCATCAGTGAACTAAAATGAACGGAAATGGGCAAATTCAATTCAGAAGTTCAGACAATTATCATATCTACTATTGTGGGCAAGAATCCTGTAGAAGAAATGGAGTAGCCCTCATAGTCAACAAAGGTAACTATGGCAGTGACAGCTAAATACTCTTGTAGAAGAATACTTAGATCAGACTGAAAATGTTGTCACCAACAAACCTCCATAGATCTGGTAAGACTTATTTGTAGCTAGCCTTTTCCTCAAGAACTCAAAGCTTGGGATTCCAACAGGACCTCCTATCCAGAGATCAAGCAGGTCCAGTACAAGATTTCACACCCAAAAGCTTCTGCATGAAATCACAGCGCATGTAATCCTACGCCAATGAATCTCTTAATCTATGTGGCTGTACTACTGGGCTGTTATACGTCTAATCTATGAAAAGCAAATAATGTGCCTTCATTTTAAATCATAACAATCCAGTACAAAACAACTCATCCACTTTTGATCTACCAGCCAATTCACAACCCTGGAAAGTATACTGCAGATAAATGAATAATTTTATTTTCCAAGTCAAGGCCTAATTCAATTCCTAGTCCCAGCTAAAGTAGATCCACTGAAACTACTAAATGGTAAACCAATATTTACACAAATCCCACTGATTTCATGAGTCTACTCTATAGTTGAACTAACAACTGGATTTAAACTCAAAACACCAATACCTGGACACTACTATTTTTCCTGGTGTGATGGAAAATTTCATCCAACTACACACATCGTGTGTCCTAAAGTGTTTCTGAGCTTTAGTTCCTCATCAGTGAAATGAGCACTAGAGTAAGCCAAATGGCTGACAAATCTCTTGTGAGAACAATACATGATGAGGATTGTAAAGCTTAATATGCACATGATTTAAAGTCCAACACATCCATACTTTGAGCTTAGCAATATATAAATGCTCAGAAAAAGTGTTTTAATCTTATTTATTGGTTGCTGTTTCTGTTTACAATTTAAATAAACTGTTGTTCATAAATACAAATCCATCTTGAGACTTCCATTTCTTGTTTGTCAGTTTCTTACCTGTACGTCTATATTTTTCCGATGAGATTTTAATGCCTTATAACAGGCTTCCAGCCAACATAATTTTTCTTCCTCCTCTTCTTCTTTTTTTCCTTCCAGGTCTCTGTTTAAAAATATTGTTTCCGCTTGGGAAAAAAGTTATAATTCATAATTTATGGATTTTGAAAAATAAATGTCCACTTATTTTCACATTTCTAGTGCAGGTTAGCAAAGCTGAAGAAACAAAATAATCTTCATTTGCAAAAGATTTAACTTCTACTGGCTCTTACTGTCATTAGGAAAAGCAAAAGGAAACTGAGATAGAGAGGGGGTTGTTGGGTTTTTTGTGAGATGTAATTAGAAGGTTAAATTTTATTTATGTATTTATTGTATTTATATTGTAAGATGTAAGCAGAAGGTTAAATTTTATTTATTTATTGTATTTATATCCCGCCTATCTGGTCAAACGACCACTCTAGGCGGCTACCAACATATATAACCATATATAAAATATAACAAAAATTTTAAACATCAATAGGCAAGTTAATCAAGATGAAAGAAGGGAAAAAGAGAAAATATAAAAAGAATAAGAAAAAAAAAGAAAAAGAAAAAGAAATCAAGCATTTAGCTGGAGGGAAGGCCTGCACAAACATCCAAGTTTTCAGTTGGTTTTTAAAGATGCCCAGCGAAGGGGCCGCACGAATCTCCGGAGGAAGTTTATTCCAGAGGCGAGGAGCCACCGCCGAGAAGGCCCGGTTTCTTGTAAAATAAGGAGCACAGAAGACAGGAGCAGGGTGGGAAGAAAGAGCAACCGACACAAATACGGGTGACCAGTTTGGTAAGCAGACTAAGGTAGAAGTGACGGGCCTATTGAGAATATGAAGACAGGATAGGAGGGTTGTGGTGTGGCTTACAGACTGATAAGGTAACACAGTCAACTACCTCCACATAGAGAATGCCTTCCCCAGTCATCATGTGTAGGAGGACTCGCCATCTGAATCAGAGCAATCGCACTGAAAGCTTCATTCGGTATAGAACACAGAGAGATGTCAAAGCTATTCTGTGAAGAACCTCTACGTATTGTCAACAGGACATAGATGGTTCACCAAAAAGAGGCTGTTTCATCAGCAGCCTTCTATCTATCAGTATGTGATGCAGAGGATGTACTATTAAAGCTATACAAAAGACGTTCAAGAAACAAGAAGATAAAAAGAAGATTTTATAATAGTAATTGTAAGGATATACAGTGGCGTGTTCAGCAGCCTTTAAAGTTCTTTTATTTGAGCTAGCCTGCTTCTCTACATAGTTTACAGTCCCATATAAGCAAGTTGTAGCAACTGAATGCATTTTAACTTCTACAGCTACTTACTGAGAAGAGCTAAGCAACTGAGTCCAGCAGCCTGTAGCTTAGCATTTGCAGGATATTTCTCAACAGCCTTCACAATGATGTTGTGTACATCATTCAGTACAAGGATATTAAAGAAGTTTTCTGGGGATGGGAGGAAATGTTTGAAAATAATTATATAATCAGATACAAACATAAAATGGATGGATTTTGCCCACACACTCTGAAGTGAGAAAACTGAAGGGAAACCCCATGAAAGAAACACAACTTATTCATCATTTCTGCTGTATATTCTACTACAATTTGTTTAGAGGCGGAGTACCTGAACAGGTAGGGTACCGGAACAAGGATGATAAAGAATGACAAAATCTTATCGTTAAGAAAACCCTTAATTCTCAGCAAAGGCCAATCAGATCTTCTTTGATTTCTAACTGTTCTGCAGAAGCACAATATTTTTTTAAAAAAAACTAATTTGCCTATTGACTTCTAATTAAAAGAAACTGAGGCTAGGAAATTAAAATTGAAGTTAGGAAAATTTTATATGCAAGAAGAATCACAGACAACAGAAAGCAAACCTATGTACCTTTACTCATAAGGTCTATTATAGTCAATGGGGTTTACATTCAGTTAAGCATTCCCAGTTAAGAATCAGTTGAAGTCAGATTCAGAACACAGGTATCCAAGTTACATTTATACGGACAGAAGCCTTCCAAGAAGTATGTATCTATACATAACACATTGGTTGAAATGCAGCGGTTAATTGCAACTAGAGTAGGTCCACTGAATCAGTCTGAATTTGGTGGGCCAACCCCTCTGTATGAACCACTAAGTCAATGGGCCTATACTAGCTGCAACTTACTACTGGATTTCAGCCATTGACTAAATCCTGTTGAGCTGCTACACAAAAGGTATAAAGGTTAGGAGTGAATTGACTGAAGTTAAGAAGACATCCCAGTTGTACTTATCTGTTGCATACTGAATCACATGATTCTGAATTAGGGGATAATTTTCTAAAAAAGCAATGTCTTTTGCATAGCAATGCAAAATGACTTCAGTCATTATCTAACATGTTCTATTTGAAAGAGCAAAATAAACAGACTGAACTATAGAGACAATAGAGAGTAGATCCCTTCCGGATTTATTCATCTCATGCAAGTAAGCAGGGAAAAACTGTGATTAAACATGGTCACAGATTACTCCAAATAAGATAATTAACAATACAGAAGTGCACTGAGCACTTCACTGAATTCACTGAGGTTTTAAGGCTATATTTTTACAATACCAGTTCCTAGTGCTGAATTCAAGAATATTTCTCAAATTCTCTGAGACTCAGGCAATACCTGACAGGAAGAAGAGAAAGAAAAGCCTCAGGTGGACTAATGTGGGTCTGCAGTTCACTCATGCTGTTTTTCTGTCACTCATGCAATTATCTACAGTCTAAATACAGTGGTGCCTCGCTAGACGATAATCCGTTCCACTGAAATCGCTGTTTAGCAAAATCATTGTCTAGTGAAAAGCATTTCCCCATTGGAATGCACTGAAACCTGTTTAATGTGTTCCAGTGGGGAAGAATCGTCGTTGTCTAGCGAAGATCGGCCATAGGAAAGCCACTTTGCAAACCGCCGAACAGCTGTTTAAATAGCTGTCTTGCGAAGCTTAGGTCCCGAAAACACCTGTTTTGCGAGCACGGAAGGAGCTGTCAAAATCGTTTTCTAGCAAAAATTGGTTTGTGAAGCAGGAACCAAACACTGTCCAGTGAAATTCCCCCACAGGAATCACTGTTTTGTGAATCGCTATAGCGACTGCAAAAAGTCAATGTCTAGCGAAAAAACTGTCATGCGGGGTAACTGTCTAGCGAGGCACCACTGTATTAAAAAAAAGAAACATTTTAAAAAGACATCACATTCTCATTACAGGACTCACCAAGCGTAAGTCTTTGCAACAAGCAGCAGCTGACTTCCTGAATGGGTTCACTCTTGGGAAATGCTTTCATCATCTCAACTATGATATTATAACATCTCACATTGCCAGACATAAGAACTTCCACATTGCTCGCTAAAAACATGAAAAGGATAGATTCGTGTTAATTTACTGTGCATAAGTTTTGTCTTTAAATGGACTGATATTTTGACACTGAGAATGTTTTTGGGTAGGGAGAATCTTTAAATCACAGGGAGGACTTCTTGCCCTCCATACCGTTAAGAGCATAGCTCCCATCATCCAGCACCAAGAATCAAACTAGCTGGAGTTTCCAGAAGTCACACAAAATTGGAGGCCAAATGAGCCCTGCCTGCATTTACTTTTTTTAAAAACTAGCAAATGATAGTAAATATCTCATTGCTGTTAAGAGTATGAATAATGATAAGAACTTGGAAGAAAATGTATCAGATATGGAAAATGGCAATAAAAAAACTGCTCTGTACATTTCCCTCTCACATAATCTGTAGCTGAACAGCAGTATAGCTGCCGTTTCATCAAACTTTTACTCACTAATCATCTCACAGCTGTTCAACAGCTGCAGCATGTCTTCCATTTCACATGCTTAAAGCTCTGATCCGAATTGCACTTTGAGTGTACCACCTTGAAATCAATGCAACTGCCTTCCAAGCAAAGATTATTAACTCTTGATATGCACATTGATCAAATCCGCTACGACTATAAATGATTTCCTCAGATGAACACATGGCAGTCTGGGTTGGTCTCCTCTTCTCTACATCACCCAAAAAACAATTCTGCAAGGAAGTAACACCTGCACTAAGGATACTTTCTACCAGCTGGTGGCCAGTACATTTCAAGGCCCAATTTTACGCCTGTCACAGGTCCTTATCAAATATCAAATGCAGTTTAGCAGTGAGAGCTGCTTTAAAAATTCACTGATCTCAGGCCACAGTTCCCAGTATCCCAATGGGCATGGATGATTAATTTATAACGGATGATCAATTTGAGCATTCAAAAACCATACTTACAAGGCCCAGCCAATGAATGCAAAGACAAAAGTGCAAGAAGTACCAAGTTCTCTTTCTCTGGGAATTTTTTAAACACGTTTAGTATGATCATATGATCTCCGTCCTCAACAAATTCAATTAGTTGCTCCTCTGGAACTGAAATGAAAAAGAAAAGGCACAAAGTAAAAAACAGTGTTATATAACTCTGTGCATTTTTATCAGATTTGGTTCACATAAAGTAAACCAGTCTGCTATAGGTGGATTCTTCTGAACATGGGCTGTAGAAGGGCTTGCCTTCCATCAAAGACAACTTGAACGTTCCAAAGCGTGGGAGGAAAAGCACAGGCAGAATTTGGACTCTGGTAAGTATTGACTTTCCCAATATGGTGTAATGAGTAGAGTGATGGGCTCGGACCCTGGAGAACACGGTTCAAATCCCTGTTCAGCCATGGAAACTCACTGAGGAAGTCAGCTTCACTACTTTGGAAGCTCTATTAGGGTTGCTTTAAGTCAGTTCCGACTTAATGGCCCAGAACACACTCACAAGTAATGACCAGGAAGAAAAAACTGAGACGCTGGGGAGAAATTATGCCGGCTCTAGAGCTCATTAGCCTTTCCACAGAGAGGTTCAGGAGCGACCCATACACTGCAGATACAGTGGGGTCTTGACTTGAGAACTTAATCGGTATTGGAAGGCGGTTCTCAAGTCAAAAAGTCTGTAAGTCAAGTCTCCATTGACCTACAGTGCATTGAAAACCGATTAATCCCGTAACAGGCCGTTTTTGTTCCATTTTGGTTTTTTTCTGGTCTGTAAGTCAATTCTCAGGCTGCAAGTCAAACCTAAATTTTGCGGCCAGAGAAGTCTGTAACTCAAAAAGTCTGTAAGTCAAGCCGTCTGTAAGTCAAGGGTCCACTGTAGCTCAGCATTAGAAGCGGGAAATCCATTTGTGTTCCAGAGACGTTTTCACCAGATCTATGCGATTTTGTAAACAAAGCCCAAATTGGTCTTTACTTCCAAAGACCAATCACAAAACAAAGCAAGCTATTTTAAAAACTACAGGAGAAGGAAAAGGCTCCTCCTGTCCCTTAATCAATCCTCAGCATCTTTTGCAATTGCAGTCTATTTACAATGTATAGTTTGGCCCTGAGAGAAGGTGTTCAGAAAACAATCTGAAGAAAGACTTCCATGGCTATTGGCAGAATAGAAGAGGTTCATGCATTTCAACCTTTTCATCAGAAAAAGAAAGAGTTGGTGGACTTGAGGCCACAAAAAGACATTGGGCTGAACTCTGCCCACCTCTGATCCACATTTCTGAGCTGATGAAGACATGTCCTCTTTTATAAAAAGGAATGTTGCTATGTATAATTCTTTTGTTTTCCTCTATAAGTTGGGGAATGTTACTGTTACTGTTCAGAAGCAGCTCAGAGATGACTACGTTGCACTAACTTTTGCACAGCCTTCCTATTCTATGCAAAAACAAAGAATGAAGGTGTTTCCTTCTTCATGGAGATTTTCCAGATGTGGGGGCAGACATCAATTTCTAAAATGTGCCAGGCCACCCCCCTTGACACTCCACAGCATTATCCATGAAATTCCAAAAACATTTTACTCAAAAAGTCTCCTTGTGCCACCTAGCGACAACGGAACAGCCAATTTTGTCATATGGTGGTGGTGGGGTTCCCTCCACAATCCCATCCCCAATTTTTGTTCTGCAAGAGAGCAAATAAAAGGGATGGCAAGTTTTTTTGGTTTAATTTTTAAAAAAGAAGAAAAATTGGTGGTGCTCTGAAGATCACTTCTCCCCATATACACTATACAGTATCAATGTTCCTTATCACATGTTCCATCCTTATAGATGCCATAAAGGAGCACATTTTTCCAAATACATTTACCCAAATGTGTCCTGCCTCAGCAGGAATAAGTACGATGGAAACCAAGCTCCCTCTCCAGTCTCTTTCTTTTCTCTTCTGATCAAAAACGATGAATGTCCAGTTTTAAAACAAAGCCCCCCACACACACTCCCGTGTTCCTTCTGCTGGTGGCATTAAGTCTACAAACAGAGCTATGTCTTATCCTGATTCCTTAACCCTGGTTACATGTGTACTGCCCTTCAGGAAAGCTGCTTGTGAAGAACTCAATATTATCATCCTTAATTATGTGGGAAGTGATAGCAAGGCAATTAAAAACAGTTGCAGAGGCCTGAATCCAATTGGTAATCCCAGACAGAGTAGACCCACAAGATCAATGAGATTTACAAGAGTTGACTTGCGGTTTAGCAATTGATTCTGTGGGTCTACTCTAGTTGGGATTGTTGGATTTAAGCGATAACCTTTTTTTTCAGACCAAGGGACATATATTCGTTGGAACCCACTAAATATTAGATAGTTCCTATCATTATGCTACCTGTACCACTAAGACCATTAAAAAGTATGGTCCTTCCCATTTCCCTACACAATTCAGCCTTAAGATTAATAGCTCTTTTCATGATCTTTTAAATTTAAGCTCCTCAGCAAGTCTATTTACGACAGCTCCAGGCTTACTTGTGCTACTATTTTCTCAAATCAGAAGCTGAAGACAAGACCCTTAAGGATGAAAAAGGGTCTTGAAACACTATATACAATTTTGAATGAGCTGTTAAGCTTTCAGCTGTCAGCTCTATGAAAGCACATGCAAAACAGAAATACTTATGAGGACAACTGCGCAGATGTGCCTTTGGACTATAAGTCCCTGAATTCCCTATGTAGCATATCGATGTTGCCTGGGAATTCTGGAAACTGTAGTCCAAAAACACTAAATCTGCACAGCCCTATTCATAACACACCACAGTTATTAATTGCATATTTGTTAACTGTCATGAGTTTCAATTGATTGTTAACAAACAAGACAGTGGTGGGCACAAGGACTGAGAAGACAGAAGAAGAAAAATGCTTCCTCAGACCTCAGTGTAGGGATGACTAGGTGGTGGGGGTTATCCCAAGATTTTGAGCGACGACACCTCCCACTTGGATGATGAGCTGCCTATATCTCGGTTTAACAAACCTGCAACAACCACTGACTGCCATTTACTTGTACGTTTGCTAAATGTATTTGCTCAGGCAAACCAGGAAAAAAGGATGCCTAAAAGAGTTGCAGGAGAACAGAGGTCACTTCAGCGTAAGAGTAATCCCTGTTCAAGTGTGAAATTTTGAACAAGGAACTCTGCCATCAATGAGGTATAGTGCATTTCTGCTGCAGAGGATTAAAAGAAATGAAGGGTACAGACCTCAGGACATGGAAGCACCTCTCTGCAAATAAGCTCACAACAAAGATTAACCTATAATTTTATTTTATTTTTAAACTAGGAGTGGAAAGTCGGTAGCTTGCATTTCCATGCTGATCATGAAAGAGGGGAAGCCATTGTGACAAAACAGTTGAGAAGGAGCCCTGTATCATACAGAGCGGAGTTTGCTACAACTCCATGTCTGTTTGGGGGGTGGGGGTGGGGGGTGGAGACAGTCTGTCTTTTGCAGCGGTTGCTCTAATTATCTGGATGTAAACAGTAGTTTCTCGGGGAGAGATTCTGTCTTTTGCAGCTGTTGCTCTAATTATCTGGATGTAAACAGTAGTTTCTCCCTGAAGAAAAGACACGCTATAAGAGGTACTCCCACTACACCAGGAAACTGTGCAAAATATCTGGAGCCCCTTTGCTAGCTGAGGGTTCTGGGAGCTGACATCAAAAACATTTAGATAGGCAAATATTCCCCACTTCTAGATGGAACTTTACTAGAAGAATGAATTTTACAAATGGTGAATGACACACGATTATCAAACTCCCAGCTTTCTCACTTCTCTAACTTGCAAATTACCATAGTCTCATTTTATTATTTGTCTGTAGCAAATACATGACAATTCATAAAATAAATCCTTTTTAATCGTCTGAAATATCAAAATTTTCTACTCTGATTTGCTTTCAGTAGATGATTTCTGAACCTATGACATGCGTGCCACAGCTGGCATGTGAAGCCCTTTCTTCTGGCACACGACAAACCTTCTGAAGTGGCTACAGCTGGGATTCCCTCTTTCTCTTCCTTTTCTGGGTCCTTTAACTTCCTGTCCATCCCCATGATTCCCCCCTTTAACTTCCTATCTGTCCCCATGATTCCCACTTTAACTTCCTGTCCGTCCCCATGATTCCCCCTGAAACTGCCACTTCCTGTTCCGGTTCTCATCTTCTGGGCAGGACGGCAGCCACTGGTTTCTTCCCCACCCCCTCATTTTGGGTACTCAACCCCAAAAAAGGTTTGCCTCCACTGGCCTACAGCCACACACTATGTTTCAGCATACAGTAATCTATTTCACAGGGTTGAGGTGTAAATTAAAAGGGGGAGAAGCCTGGACAGCAAAGCTGGGGAACCTGCGGCTCTTCACATGTTGTTATATTCCAATTCTTATCAACCTCTATCAATCTGGCCATGGAGAGGGATGATGATATTAGCAGTTAAGCAATATGTGGAGGGCACCAGATTTCCAGCCTGGTTGAGCAATTTACTACTGTGTTTTTACTTTTCTGCATAGACATGCCAATCTCCCCAAGCTATGAATTACAGGTGACATTTATGTGACGATTCAGTAAATTAAATATTTAGCAAGTCAATCCCTGGCATGCACAAGAGATAACCAGGATCCAAACCCTGTACAGTAGACAGACTGTACAATCCTGCTGCTCTGGCAGGGGCAATTTACAACCGATCACAGTAATTGCATAACATTCCAGCCACACATTGAAAGCCACGTGCACCATGCAAGCACCTAGTTACCTAGATGTCTTGTCAGCAATCAGCAATGAAAGGAATGTACTCAAAAGGGAAAGAAGAAAATCTGCCCATATATCAACCAGAGTGGTTAAAAAGTATTGTCACAACTAATCGGCATCGAGCAAGCTGAACATGGAATCTTATTTAATAAACCATTTATAATACTTTTAAAAGTGAAAAGGGATAACGCTGAGAGCCACATATTGATGCAGCTCTCAGCTTAGGAGAGATTTCAAAGTTATTTTGATTCCATCATCATCAATGTGCCATCAAGACAACGTTGGCATGGAAACTGTTTTCAGGGCTTTATAGGCATAGAGTGTTCAGAAGTGGTTTACAGTTCTCTTCTTTTGGAGACATCCTGAGATTGTGTAGCTTGCCCAAGGCTGCACAAACTGGCTCTCACAAACGGGCTCTTTCCCTTCTTGCCCTCTGGCTCTGCAGCTAAGGCGCCCAATTCACTGAGCTATTCCCAGCCTCCTGAAACATTAGAAAGGCTATTTGTTTAACCAATTATCACCTCAGGGACAGAACCTCCCCTTCAATTTATAGGTGCTATTAATTTTCTCATTACATTCCCCAAACTACAGTGGTGCTTCGCTTAATGAGCACACCGTATAACGACGAATCCGCATAGCAATCCCTTTTTCGGGATCGCTAATGCGGAGGCATAGCATCGGTCCCTATGGCAAAAACTCGCATAGCGACGATCGGTAAGCCCGATCGGTAATGCCTGCGGATCAGCTGTTCGGCGGTTACACCAAATGGCCGCGTGCAGCATTTTCACGCATTCCCCTCGCTTACCAAGGGCACAAAAATGGCTGCCGCTATGGAGGAAACTTCGCTGAACGGTAAGTTTAGGGACCATTGGAACACATTAAAGTTTCCTCCATTGCAGCAGCAATTTTCGCGCCCTTGGTAAGCGAGGGGAGGGCGCGAAAACGCTGCACGCGGCAATTTCGGGTCTTCCGGCGGCCATTTTGGTGAATTGGGTGCCTTAGCTGCAATGGGTTTTTACGTTCCGTTTAGCGATTTTTTTCCCTTTTATTATTATTATTATTAATTTGGATTTTGGTGGTGGGGGAGGCACACTGCTTTGAAAAGGAGAAATGTTTCTTTCAAGACACCTTATTCTTTTCTGCCTCACCAGGCAGCACCAAAAACCTGAAAAGCTACAATACTGAACTTTATTACTTACCTTTTTCTAGAAGCATGTGCAAAGCTTTACATCCATATTCCTGGACCTTTTCATTATCAGAGAAGGTGTCCATGGCGTCAAACACCAGTAAAAAGACATCCGTGCCTTCTTCCAACAGAAGAAGTGTTATTTCATCTACAAATTCAAAAGAAATAGGCAGGTCATTTGCTTATTAAACATTATTTTCCTTCTACAATCATCATATAAAATCAAAATTCTCACATTAAGAATACAGTATTTTCATTTTGACCTAACTCCAACAGGGAGACTCAGTTACAAGACCTACTGAATTCATGATATTTACAAAGGTCTTTATTTTGTAACTGAATTTAGACTATAGCATTTAATAGCCTAATCCTATGCATGTCCACACCATACTCTCAAGTCCATGCTTATAGGATCGCAAATTCACAATGCCATACATTCAGAAATAGCAGTGAACTCAGTAGGAACTTGCTACCAAATGTGTGCATCTGGTTTAGAAAAACAATAATAGCATCTAGCTAGCTGAACAGTATGCTTCCGTAGCTGTAAATTAATTACCATTAATATCAGAAGTATTGGGAGTACTCTCAAAAGCAAAATTGTTAGTAGCATTTTACGCTCAATTCGCATAATATTTATAATCTGACCATACTACCATGTTTCCCCGAAAATAAGACAGGGTCTTATATTAATTTTTGGTCTAAAAAACGCATTGGGGATTATTTTCAGGGGATGTATTATTTTTTCATGTACAACAATCTACATTTATTCAAATACAGTGGTGCCTCGCACAATGGGCGCCTCGTAGAGCGATGAATTCGCTCTACGAGACCGTTTTTGCGATCACAAATGCGATCGCAAAACGGTGCCCGTATAGGCGGGAAATCTCAGAACGAACGACT